TAGAAGTATAATGTGAACACGCTTCGAAATAACCGCTTAAAAGTGTTTTTGTAAAATGCTTTCTCATCTTTTTGTTGGATAAAATTTGTTGAGAATAATCATGCGTCAACCCAATACACTAGTCGACACAATTTATTAGAAGTGTTCGTTCCGCTACAACTTTCAACACCTTCATGATAAGGTCCTCCACATGTCGTGAGCTCGACAGACCAGTTGCTTCATCAGCGGAATTTCCGGATCTAGCATCAGTTGACCACTATTTGCTCCAGACCCACTGTCATTAGCTGAGCAAAAAATCTTCAATCAAGTATTATTCGGAAACAAGATCGCCCTCTATCTTACAAGTGCTGGTCACGGTTTTTGAAGGATTAACAAGGTTATATCCGAACATAATATGCGAGTAATAATTAAAAATATTGCCTGAATAATTATTTCTGCTCATTGTCAACTTCCCACTGAAGGTTGATATAGAACTGCTCGAGGTCAGCGAGCAAAAGCGATAAATCTAAATTTAACGCTGGCCGAAGCGTTGCGAAACTTTTTTCCAATCTAATATATATATGGTTTCTGTTCTGTATTATGACTTCGATCTTTATCAATTTCTGATTTTTAAGAGAATATTATATGGTTTTATGTGATCATCTTCTTGGAAGTCTTCGTTATCTCCCTTTATAATGTATCGTACTATATGGGCAGTCCTCAGACGGAGTTCATCATACAGCAAGCAAAGGTGAGTGCTGGGTAGTTATATTTCATTGATCGATTATCTGAAATTAATGCGATCATTCGTCGACCCGTTCATAGTTATTCATTACCTGCAAAAGTGTCCACTTGCAAAAGCACCTCACAAGTAAAGATGGTAGGTCTAAGTGGCTGCTTAATTTGAGATGTATACCCTGATGCGTTTCTAGTTGCAAATGTATCTGCATTAACTGCTAAGCGACACTGTGAGCTGTGAGCAAATTACGTAAGTATTTTTGACGATTGTGGTGTGATGGCCTCAAAGGCATCACTTTACCGCAATGATAACGGCATGCGGTTCAGCGCCCCACTTTGCACACCACGTCGGATGATGTGACACGGTTGCATGTCCCACCCAAGGCAATCCTTTTTCTCGCGGTGCGACTTCTATGTTTGTATTCATTCTAATGGATAATAACAGAGATTAACGACATGTTTTACCGTGTTTCGAATGGCTTCAATTGAAGGTTTTTTATGGCTTAAAGCTCTGACCTAAAGCCAAAGGATCCCCTCTTGCTTTCCTCTCCAGTCCACTACCTAGAGAAGAAATCTCATGTTAGCAATCGTGATGACAAAATCGACACTGATCTTTCTTCGATCAGAATTCAGTGGAGTTCTACAAGAGAGGCATCGAACAGCTTCTAGTGCGTTGGCAATAGTTGTAGATATTGATATAGGTATTGCCATGATGGATTGGGGGAACAAAAAGATAACAAAA